AGATGGATGGATGTCCGGTTGTAGGATACAATATCTACAAATAAAAAAATTATACCCTGCAGTCCTGTGATTAGTCCAGTTCAAATATTTTGAAAACAAAAAGATACATTTCTTGTTTATAACTTATTTCTCCCCCCCCCCCAGCCCTCTGAACACGCCCCTGCAGCTCCTGGACCTGGAAAGCATTTTCTTTACAATATCTGCAGTTTCCCTTCAACAGACCCATATCACAGCTCAGGGTACAAATCTGAATTCATTTTGCCCTGCGGTCATCTAAAAAAAAATTGAAAAAAAGACATTTTCCATCAAAGCCAATGACAAAAGTTTGAGAAAACGATGACAGCTTGATTTTCTTTCTTTTTTTTTTTACTATGTGAGCAGACCTTTGGGCCTCAAAGTGCTGACCGCTCAACTATCAGGTCAGATGCGGATCAAGAAAATGGAGCTCAGACTATTTCAGTGTGACAGTTCATTTTTCAGAAAGATCTGACAATGGAGTCTGACATCAACAGATCTCCAAGAGCAAAGAAAAGATTAGCTTTCAATTCTGTCAGTTTTCAAAGCAAGGCTTTATTGGATACCCACCTTCACCAAGTCCAGGTCGATCTCCAACACATTGGCCAGCTGAGAAGAAAAAAGCAGGGAGAAATGTGGAGAAGAGAAACAAAAGAATGAAACAGGATTTGGCTGAAAACTTTGTTAAAAAACACAGATGCGTTCACAGTCCAAAGCCCACCTCGGCCACGTTCGTCTGCTCGTCAATGGACACGAAGATTTTGTACAGAAGCGTTTCAAAGTAATCGCCTTGGACTCGGTTCATCACAAACCCTTCAAGCGGGGGCACTGAAAAAAAATGAAAAAAAAACAAATATAGAAAAACAACTATGCGAATATTTCAGCAGTTTCTAATTATTTTTGAAGGCTCTGTTGGACCTCATTTCAGATGCATGCAGAAATATTATCTGTACAATCCAATCTGCACACAAACTATGAATACACACACACACACACACACACACACACACACACAGAAATGTACCTGAGATGCAACTGTCATCTGATATGGGAACGTCCAGGTAGATGAAGCCCCGGTTGTACAAACCTGGATTAAAAGCAGAATAATACAGTTAAAGTATTCTACACACGACTGTAGCTACACAAGGAAAATCTAGGAAAATCTCCCCCTTCTGAAATCTTATTTAAACAATGCTTAGCTGAGGGGGGGAGATTTTGCATTTAACTTAACGCTGTTTAATTGAAGCTTCTCCCAAATTAGTTCGTGCAATAATTAGGAAGCCAAATCCCTCCTTAGCTGGGAGCAGATCCACGTTTTAAATCTCGTTTTTGGAGTTTTAAGAGAAACACAAACGAAGTGTGCAGAACATTCCTGGAGCCTTCGGAGGAAAAACCCATTCATTGTTCCAAAAACCTTCCTGATACTCAAGATTTTTGTTTTTTTTAAGAATAAGACAAGGTCTCTGGAGAAGCTGAACACTGAATAAGCTGCACAAACTGGAGGTTCAGGTTATAATGCTCACTGCCAGAAGAGGGAGACAAAAGTGAATAAGATGAAAAAAAGAATACTCACTCAGGACTACGTTGTACTCCATCGATCCGGCCAGCTGAGGACCTGTATCTATCATCTTATCAATGGCTTTCTTCTCAGATGGAGAACAGATCTGCAATTAAACCCAATAAAAATACAACGTTAGAGAAAACAAAATAGCTAGCTAAAATAAAATCTACCAAACAGCTGCTCTGCTGTTTCTGTGGGAGTTGATGGATGAACTGATAGATATTACATATTAATACAAATGAGTCAACATTTAAAGTTCTTCCACCTCCTAAATATAATAATTAGACAAATAAATCTCAACTAAAGCTAGAAATGGGCATCTTAAAACACTTTTTATGACCTGTGTTCCCCTTAATGCACTAATGTTTTTCCATATTTCCATCTTTTCTTTCTACTCGTGTCCTTAGAACCAGACCACCTCTGGACAGTTTCTCTTTCTGAGTTTTGCTTTCATCATTTATTTTTAACTTGTGTGATTGAGTTGTCCTCCTGAATGTTCGTAAAGTCTTCTATCTCCTAAGTGAAAAGGTCTAGCAGCCTAGTTCAGTTTGTCCTTTAACACATTGATGTTTCCTGACATCCAGGAACATTTTTTTTTAATGTTCTTCATCATATCTTCTGATCTTTCTGTTGTCTTGACCATTTACATTGTCAACTATATCTATAATTGTTTTGTTATTTGGTTAACATTTCAGATTGATCTTTTATTTTTGGAAATAGGAGAGTCTTTCCTTATGGGGCCTATAAAGGACAGCTGGTATTGCTGAAATTAAACTGGGACTGAACGTGCCCGTGCTTTTTGCTCTCACCCTTATGTCGTCCTCGGTGATGTATCCGGTCTGTGCCACCCACCACGGCTCCACCGAGATCTCCACCGGTTTGGCTGGGAGCAGGTCCCGCGCTGATTTCCTGCGGAAGAATTTCTGTAGAAAGGAAGCAAACAGGGGGGCAATAAAAAAATTAAAAAGAATAGAAAAAAATGGAAGTAAGAATGTGAGGAAATCTTAAATTAGCAAGTGTTCACAGTCCAACAGAACCCATGAAATCCATTTAACTAGTATGACTTTACATAGAATGGGGTTATATCTAATGTTTACACATTTCCAGACCCCAAAAACGGTTCAAATATAGATTTCAAATTTATTTTAAACTTTCCTCCAATGGTATAGTATAATACAGATTCTTCTGGATAATAACCAAACCAGAATTTGAAATGAAAAACACCTTTATGTCAAATTTAAATCTTTCCAATGTCTCAGTTTTATAGACACATGCCTGACATCCACTGACAGCTCGTCCTAGATCAAGTGGCTATCTACACCGATTAATAAAAAGCTGAATTAAACAGGTAAACAAGGGACAAAAATGTGTTTAATGTGTGCTTATTTCTTTTTTCAGGACCATTCTACAACAGCAATCAGCATAATATCCTAATCTGTGAATCAGCAAGGAAAATTATAACAGTGAGCCTGAAGTCTGCTAATTATCTTTAACTAAAATTAGAGGTTTTAATTTGAGGAACTAAAACATTAACATAAATGAAAAAGACAAACCACCTGCTTCGCATCTGATTGTTGGTAAAACCATCAAGCTGCACTCTCATTAACTCTGAAAAGGGAATTTGATGCTTGCTAAAGAGGCCTTTAGGCATAATAAAACTTTCCATTAACTCCAGAATCCACCCCCCTTTATTAAAAACGCAGTTTTAATCACATGACTTTGTTTTAAAAAGGCAGTTTGATGGGCTGGGGACAGCACTTCTTTTACCACATGACAGTTTGGAAAAAATCTTTGTGCCATTTCATCCAGGTGAGCTGTAACTGGATAATAAGACCCCTTTGATGTTTCCATTTGTTAAAACTCTGATTTTCCAGGGCACGTTGAGCACAGCTTACCTTAGAGGACCGGCACTGGTTCATCAGGTCGATGTACTGGTTTCTCCCGATGCCAAGCAGCCTCAGACCTGTGTTGATGGAACAACAGGGTCAGTAAACACACACTCCTCAGGAACCAAATAAAATAAATCTGTGGCAATAAATGTAAAGTTTTTTTACTTTTTCATGTTTTAATCTCTGCAGCGAATTACAATAAATAATAATAAGTTAGTGTGAATTAATACTTTCAGAAGTTCTTGCGAACTCTGTATTGTAGTAACAAATTATTCCACTGACTTTTTGCTTGGATTGTAACTAATTCAAGCAGAGAAGGAGACAGGATTTTTAAATTTAATTACAGATGAAATAGGCTGATGAAGCCACCAACTTGTCCTCCAGCTCCAACAGGCCAAAATCATCCCTGCTCAAATCCAAACCCAGCTGCATCAAAAAGAGCTGTTATCTCTACACGCATTTTCTAAATCTGTGACAATTCTGTGTCATATGAAGGAGGTTTTGCAATAATAATGCCCTCGTCGGCTCCTATTGCACATCCAGGTTTGGCTGACACAAAAAAAGGCTGGCACCTCCTGCTGGTTCAGCCAGGAGCCGACAACACGCGCACGAACAATCCCCATCCGCACAATTCTGCCCGACACATTTCTGAAACCTCCTCCGAGGAGCTTAGTGGAGGGGTCCCTTTGAGTACGGTACTGGCAGCCTTCTGCCTCCCCGACCAGGACTCAGCCGCTCGTCATTCTGTGCCAAAGTCTATTTTCACCTGACAGCAGAAAGGCGGCAGCTGCCTGAAGACTTTTCAGGTTTTGAGATTATTCATGAGACACTCGGCCTCTCGGAAACGAAGAAAGAGAAAAGCTGCTTTTCTTTTTTGCTTGTCTGTTCAGAAAGAAAAGACCTCTGTGGTGGTGCAGAGTCCAACATAAAATCTGAGACAATGTTGTTACAGTTGCTCAAAAATTAGCAAGAAAAACCTATTGAGTCAGTGAGATGTTGATGGTGTCGTTTTAGTCTCTGCTAATTAGGACCAAGACTCACCAACATGGTAGATGTGACCATCATTGTTTCATGTTTCTTCCAAATTTGGACCAAAACTAGCACAAATCCTCTGAAGACCAAGATTTACACAGTCTGCAGATATGTTTTAGACTTTTGTTTTAAAATATGAGATGATAAACCTGATTCACAGACGAACAAAAGAGTTCTGCATTTCTTTCTCAAACAACTTTGCTGAGCAAAAAATAGAAAAAGAGCACGTGTTTGAAAGTTGAAAAACAGGAAACTTTCTTCTGGAGACATTGCATATTTGAATCCTAACATTTAATTACTATTAATACTTTTCCCCAAACAACAAAAACAAAAATTCGGGACGAGTGAATCCAACAAATCCAAATTAGGCTCCAAATCTTTAGAGAAGCTGAAAACAACTTTCCAATGACTCTCTGACTGTTTGAAATCCCTCATCTAGTCATAGTTTTGAATCTTTTCATTGTAACTGCCAGGAAGAGCTGTGCAATATTAACCAGTGACACAGAGAGAGGAGGTGTTGGAGGCAAACAAAACCTCAGTTCAGTCCTCTCAGAGCTGTGGAAAATGGAGAAATAAAACTCACAGTCAGCAGCAGTGAAGTTGGGCAAGGAGTCATAACTCTTCTCACTGTTCATAATATCCTGCAGGGACAAAAAAAAGAGATGAAAAGGGAAGCAGAGAAGAATGAAACTTTGTTTCTCTCCCCTTTCTGTGACCCCAACTTCTGATTAATAACAGGATTAGCCACTTTGGGCAGGCGTGCTAATTTCTACTCCCGGCTTTCATTAGGTGTTTGGAGCCGATTAACAAAAAAACGATATAGCCCTCAGCCAATTCAGCAATTACAATCCAAGTTCAGTCCAGTTTGGCGTAAAAAACACAGAGTTAAGTGAGCTGACGACTAAAAAAGCTGCTCTATATTTGTGCTGGTAAGTGAAATAACGCTGAGCCTGTTAGTCACATCTCCCCAAAATGAAATGGGAGGGACTCTAACTGAGAGTCAGCACGGAGAGGAAATGTATCCAAAACACAACCCCAGAAAAGAGACATGCAAAAAAAAGATACAGATTCAAATCAAACTCGAAAGGTGGTGTGAACACGTGGGCTCAGAGTTTGTGACCCGATGGAAAAAGGAGAATCCGGCTTGTTTTCTGGAGTCTGGAGTCAACAGACTGCGTCTTATTAGCGAGTTTGGGCTGTCATGCAGGCGAAGCCCCGACTGAACGCAGAGCAAGCAGCAGAGATGTCTCAAGAGTGTGTTTTCGACCCCGTATCTCCTCCTGAGACACTCTGTGAGGCTTTTTCAGACACTGACTGACACCTAGTGCCCGAAAACAAACAATAAATATATGATCTCAGGAAAAAATACAATGCAACTGCAACTATTGAGAGTGTATAAATCGAAATGTTGATTTTAGGTGTTCAGAGAACATAGTATCTGCTGGCAAATGGGGAAAAAACACCCGTAATATCTCTTTTACAAAAGCTGCTTTTTTACTGAGACTACAGCTCTTGCAATAGTCTCCATTTGTGCTAAAACGAAACCGTTTCAGTGAACAGGGACTGAATTTATCCAAACCAGTGAGGACAGTTTAATGCTCTGCTCTGCAGAGTTAACCGAGCCATTGTTCTGAACAATAGCTGCTGTGAGACGCGAAATAGGACACTAAAAAAAATGTAAAAAGAGCCTTTTCCTCACAGGAATGCAGCAGGAATTGCTTACCTCCATGATTCCTATGTAATACGAGAAGGGAGTGACTCTCAGCCCTTTGACCATGATGTCCGACAGGTGATAGGGGTACAGCATCAGGTGCTCCCGGCTGTACTTCAGCAGCTCCTCGTAATATTTGCGCTCGTCCTTCCTCACGTGGCGCACTGTTCGTAAAAACGCAGACATTAGTTAAAGGGGAGATATTATGCAAAACCAAGTTTTTAATCATTTGATTATGTGCATTTGGGACTGTGGAGGGCCTATCAGAAGGCAGAGTGTGAAAACAAATGACTCAGTCATGTTTTTGTGGGCCGCCTCAGTCTGAATCCAGGAGATAAATCAGGAGGTTTCAGGAGTGGGTAGTTTCTGACGTCATTAGCTCTAGCTCATTATAATATTCCAGCCTTTCACCTGCATGTTGCCCCCCCCCTCAGCTTACTCCCCTATCTGTGGAGACGTCGTGGTAGCGTGAGCGTTAGCATGGTAGCGTTAGCATGGTAGCGTTAGCATGGTAGCGTTAGCATGGTAGCGTTAGCGTAATGTGTTTAAAGGGGACCTATTATGCAAAACCAAGTTTTTAATCATTTGATTATGTACATTTGGGACTGTGGAGGGCCTATCAGCAGGCAAAGTGTGAAAAAAAAAATGACTCAGTCATGTTTTTGTGGGCCGCCTCAGTCTGAATCCAGGAGATAAATCAGGAGGTTTCAGGAGTGGGTAGTTTCTGACGTCATTAGCTCTAGCTCATTATAATATTATTATTATTATTATTATATATTATCTAGCTCATTATAATATTCCAGCCTTTCACCTGCATGTTGCCCCCCCCCCTCAGCTTACTCCCCTATCTGTGGCAGACGTCGTGGTAGCGTGAGCGTTAGCATGGTAGCGTTAGCATGGTAGCGTTAGCATGGTAGCGTTAGCATGGTAGCGTTAGCATGGTAGCGTTAGCGTGCCGACGTGGGCACACCTCCCTGAAGAAGTGGGTGGATTGCCTGTGTCTCATTTGCATTTAAAGAGACAGGCACTCCAAAGCGAGCGCTCTGAACGGGGCTGTTTTGGGTTAGGGTTAGGGTTAGGGTTAGGGTTAGGGTTAGGCAGGGGGACTGAACTGCTATTGGGCTTCATCCTTATGGGATTTTGACCAAAGCTTGTCACAGACATTAAATTAGGACACCAGGGAACTAGCTTAACTTGTCAAAATAGGGTATAATATGTCTCCTTTAAAGAATATTTAACCCATTCACGTCATGCAAACGCTCTGGATTTGCACATTTGTTGGAGTTTATGTTACTTTAACGATTACTGACCTTTTTTTTTTTTGTTTTAAATGAATGTTGTCCAGCAGTTGGTTAGTGTTGTGGAAAAGCCTGTTATTGACCATTTTTTGTTTTAAATGAATGTTCTCCAGCTGATCAACTCAGCTTGCACAAGACACGCTAATCACTGACAATCTAGAGGCCCCAAGGCAGGAAATTCAGATGATGAGTTAGTGGGAGCTATTTTTAATGCCTTATGATTATTCATTAGCTCACTTAGTATTACACATTTGTAGCTCTGACTCATACAAGAGATTTATTACAGCTCACAGTCTGTTCTGTGAGCAGCATAGAGAGGTCTCATTGATGCTTTGACTAATAGATGTGAGCTCAGATCTGGTGCGAGGGGCCAACTTGCTCACCTAAGTTATTGCGGAATCGCAGCTGGTTGCGGATGCTGTAGAGGAGCACGTGCTTCTCATACTCGCGCTGAGAGTTCCCCAAACTCTGCGGAGAGAACAAAGCACACAGGTGAGGATCAAGGCCAGGTCACCATGCCTGGCGGCAAAAATAAACTGGGACTCTTTTAACCTCCTCCTCCTCCCAGCCGGGGGAGCAACACACTCCGGTTTACCTCCCGCTGTCAGATATGCTGTGCTTCAAATTCAACTGTACAAAACTGGATTTCACGTTTAATATCTGGGAGGCTTGAAAGCCAAAATAATGAGTTTTAAACTCTTGATGCATTGGACCGATTCTGGTGACAATCATGACCTTTTTGAGCAATAGTGCATAAAGAATGTCACTTATTCTCAGAGAATAAAGTGTCCTTGTTAAGTGCCTTATATATAATATGTCTTTTCCCTTGGTAACGGCTAACAACCACATAGTCTTCCTAGTTTCCCAGACAACTCAGTTCAATCTAAGATACTCTAAATGAAGCACAGATTTTTTAACAGGAGGAAAAAGCAAGCTTATATCAAGCAGGTGGTCAATAGCTGTGGACAAAACAGAACTGGAACACAGGAGGGTAAATCTGTAGACTGAATACAAGCAGAAAACTGAAATGATTGATCCATGTTTCCAGTTTTAACTGAATATCTCACAGGTTTTATTCTATTTTACATTCCTGCTCTAAGCACATGTTTCAGCATCAGTTCAGGAGTTGGAGACCAACTTCTCTGATGCACAATTCGTGTTAACAGCTGCAAAGAAACACGGAATATCAATGCATCCGCCTATACTTTCCTCCTGACATGTTGGCATAATGATGGCACCCCATTTATGCAGATGGGGGACAAATTATGCGTTATTAGAGGTGTGAAAGCTGCATCTCCAGGCGGTTAAAACCATGTGGCGCCTTCCTAATCAAACGATCTGTCATGTGATGCCAGTCCAGATGTAGCTCCAGGGGCTGGGGGGGACTCATCCGGGGCCACGGATCCGGCCACGGGCTCCTGTCGGTCGGATGGAGCCCCTAAGAGGAGCCGCTGAATGACAACCGGAGCCCGGCGGTGACATTGACAGCTACCGCTCCGGGACACAAACCCCCACACAAACCCTCCAACAAACCCCCCTCCACAGACGATTAAACGCCGTACCTGTTTGACATTAGCCGGGAGCTTGTTCCACGGGTAATTCTGCCTGATGTGGAATTCCACGTCCGTGTTCATCGCTAGCTAGCTAGCTGTCGGGCTAAAAGCCGGACTCCTCGAAACGGTCGGAAACGGGTCTCTCTGTCGAGTCCACGGCGGCCTTCAGCCCCCCCCCCTCCCCCGACAGCCGACCCCCGAACCGAGGAGACGTTTTATCCGCTGGTTATTATCCTCTGCAGAAAAAAACGGCCACTTCCTTGTTGTATTTTCGAACCAGGCGTTCGTCACGCTCGTGGCCGCCTACGTCACTTCCTGTTGAGGCTGAATGGGGCTGGAGAGCGAAAATGCAGCTAATGGGAGGTGATGGGAGGGTTACGAGTCCTGTCCCTGTCAAGATTGCCTTAAATCAGCTCTGAAAATGCGTTTGTTATGTAAGATTTAAGGGGGAGAGGAAGAAGAGCTCGTGAGGAAGATGTCAGGTTTTGTTAAGGCGGCAGGAGGCCATCATGAGCTGGGCCCAAAAATTAAGCTCATGGTTTTCTGTCACCTGCATAATGAAAAACTCATAAATAAACGTTTGTAACATTTGTTTGTCCACTCCAAAGCAGGTGTACACTACTATTTTAGTAAGTGTGTGGAAACTTTTATCAACTACTGAGGCCCAGAGGAAAAAATCTAAATGTGAGAGGATGCCTTTATTGTCATTATACACAGTACAACCACATTACCACCAAAAATAGGAAAGTCTGACTACAACATATGAAGTATATACAATATAAACATTAATTCATTCATTTATCATTCTGAGTCTGATTCATTATCAGAAAAAATATCCTTTCTAATATCCTATTTATCTTCAGAATGAATATTATAAATATCCTATCCATTACCAGAATCAGCTTTAAGTATGTGTGACCATACAAGGAATTTGACTCCAAATGTTACTCACTTCAGTGGAATTCAATACAAAATACACAAATAGGTATTGGTATTTACAAAGAGAACAAGATATATGTACATAGTACAGATTTGAAATATTTAATAGTGGACGCAAAGGTTTCCGGTGTGATTTTTATTTTTTATTTTACATGGTTCCCCAAGTTGCAGGTCAGGAAACGATAGCATCCTGTGTTAAAAACAGTGCCCAATAAAAGTTCCCTGATATATTTAGTTGTCCTAAAATGGACTAGTGGTATTTGCACATCGTATATCTTCCATTGTTTGACAGGTGGAGAGAACTAAATCTATTAAATCAGAGCCTTAACTGAAATTATGAGGGCAGCAAACACTCAGTGACAGAGAAAAGGAGGTCAACAGGTCACTGATTAATAACGTTTCATTAAACTGTTATAAATGAATCATGTTTGGTCCTGGTTTCACAGCCTGCAAATGGTAGTTTTAGATAGATTTTTGTGTCATGTGTTTTTATAGCCAGTACAACAATGTAATTATTTGAGTCTTAAAATACATTTTACGGAAGCCCATACATTAAATTCTGCTAACTAACAAAGAAATCTTCAATCCCACTCAAAGAAACAGCTCCAGGGAAACCTATAAAACCTGCATTCTTTTTAACTGTACAGGCTCCATAAAAGGGGGCCTGACAACAGCGTTATTCAGCCATAAAAACGCACAAAGCCTCCAGCCAGAAAAGCCTTTTTTCCTCTCTTTTTCTTCACGTGAGCCAGCAGAAAACAGCACGATTCCCAGCTTGGCGCTGGCTCAATAACTGGGGTCGGTGTTGGATTTCACCGTGGGACAAAGTCCACCGAAGTGTCAGGACCTGCCAACGTCTCACTTCCCTGAAGATGTGTCACTCGATCCGCAGCCGTGAAACCGCAGTCCCTCGTCCGGAGCCGCTAACCAAACATGACAGTAACTCATCTGGCAAAGAGGGGCTCCAGACGGGGCCTGGCCCAGAGACCAAAGCCTGACAGCTCACAGGTGGTTGTGAGAGAGGAGGTCTTTGAGAGTACGAGACGGTGATGTAAAAGCAGGTTATTTTGAAAATGAAAAAAATAAATAAATAAATAAAAATGTGAAAAATTGAAAAAAATATATAATAAAAAATAAAGAAAATATAAAAAATATAAAAAATATAAAAAAATTAAAATAAATAAATAAATATAAATAAATAAATAAAAAAGAAAGAAAAATGTTAAAAAAAGAAATAAATAAATAAAAGAAAATTAACTCTCAGTTCAGACTAAAGATTCTGTCTGGTTCTCATCCGTCATTCATACACGAGCCCTAATATCTACTGCTTACTCCTCTTATCTGACTTTCCCAACCTCTCTGACCTCTGACCTTTCAGAGGACGGGAAAATGGTTAACGTCAGCATGTGAGATCAAAGGATGTTTCTTTTTCTTTGCAGATTTTTAGACGACTGAAAAGTTTAAAGCCTCTGACCAGAATGTGCCTGTGATCACAAGATGAGGAAAAGAGATTTTAAAAAATATATGTTGTGATGAGACTTTAAATGTAGAGACTGACATTTCAGTCAAGGGGGGAAATTCTCATTTTACTCCAGTGGAATTAAGAGATAACGCTCTTATTGTGTGGTCCATTTGAAAAGCCAGCTCATCACAGTCAGGTTTAATCCGAATAATGAGGCACAGATGGATTTATGAGAAGTTTTTATATAATAAAAAATCATAATTTGATTAAGACCAGGAAAGTTGTAGATTAATCTTTTGACTTTTTCAGGGATAATTTGATGCAAATAACAGCATGATGAGAAACATGAATAAACAGCATCACTCAGAATAGACAATGTTCATAATTTGCCCCTGATATTTATACAAATGTTGCACAGAAATTCAGAGGAAATAGAAATATTTTAGATATATTAAGTTCACATTCCTCGTGCTTAACTAACACCATTCAGTGCAAAGCATTCAATTGGGAAACATAAACCAATCACCAGTGAATATTATTTTCTTAGTGAAACCTCACAGACATCCAGATGTGATATGATTACTGTTTAGTTCCATTTTTATAAGAAATGTTTTAATAAAATAAAGGCAAATGCAGTTAAAATGCCTGGATCATTGTTTCTCAGACAATCCACCAAACAGCCCGTCCTTAGGATGTATATATATGTATACATATACAGTGGGGGAAATAAGTATTTGACCCCTTGCTGATTTTGCAGGTTTGCCCACTTACAAAGAATGCTTATTTTTCCTCATCAGATGGTTATCAATTTTTATAAATTCATATGATGTGATTTTCTGGAATTTTCTTTGGGATTCTGTCCTTCACTGTTAGCATGTACATATGATTAAAGTTATAGATCGTTGCATTCTTTGTAAGTGGGCAAACCTGCAAAATCAGCAAGGGGTCAAATACTTATTTCCCCCACTGTATATACATCTATATATATATATATATATATATATAGATATATATATATTCACTCTTTTGAGGCTGCTGGATGATGCAGGAACTGAACGGTGACAGAAAACAAAACAGAAACGATAATTTCTGTTCATCCTGAGTCGTGCAGAAGGCCATAAGAGCTGTCCAGCTGGAGGAAGTTGTCCCGTTTCTCCCGGCTGTTCTCCTGATCACAACGTCCCGTCATCGCTGATCCATATTTACACCCCGGCTTACACACAGGGGGAAGGGAGGGGGTAGACTGTGGGTGGTAGACAAACGTTAGCAGCTCAGGCCCAACGATTAAAGCCCACCTGGGTGGGGGTCACCAGGCTGAGTCAGGGCCCTCTAATGACTCTCCCCCCGGGGGGCTGTTGTAAACACTCCCTCTATTGGACTCTGCCAGAGATCTCTGTGTCACATGAGAGGTCTGGTTGAATCACGGTGGGCCGGGGGGGGGGCTATTCTTAGATGGAGGAATGTACACAGTGGCCTCATGGCAATCTGAATCGCGCCTAACGGGAAAACCTTGTCATTTCTCTGTGTCATGCTCCTTTCCGAGCTCCTCTCCGGATAGCGCTTTAACTCTTTTTTTCTTTTCTTTTCAAATGGATCTTTTCTTCTGACCGGGAAGGCACCACGGACATCGTTTTGCTGAATCTGTGTGGAGGGAGGTGAGCATTCACTGTGAGGGGAAAGTTAATAAACGCATATTAGGTTAGTCAAACAGAACTCATCAGTTTCATGTTTGAGGAGACATTTAATTTTCTGCTGTTTCACAGTAATACTGAAGTTTATTCAGACAGCTTTGATTCGTTTCTTTTTCTTTGACTAAAACAGATACTCGTAAACATCTTGATTGATTAACTTTACATAAGGATATTCATAGTCTTCAAAATAGGATGTTATTCATTAACATATTTCACTTCTTGCTCTCTGCTAGCAGTCTGAGGTAAAACTGCCTGAGCCTCTCGCTTTTAATCGCACTCAATAACGATTAGGCGTCTAAATATATATCGGGCCAGGCTTCATAAGTGTGAGAAAATCAGGATTTGATGTTGGGGACCTGATGGTCCAATGAGATCCACGCCAGGTCCCGGCAGGAACCTCCCACCGGGGAGAGAGAGGCTCTGGCCTGGGAGACGAGGAAGACGGCACAAGACAAACATAACATGTAGAAAATAGCAACAGTTTCCCAGAGGGAGAGATTCAGAGAGACGGGGAGACAAACACAGATGGCGTGTTGACACGCGCGTTAATGTTAGCGCTGATGGCCGGCCTGATAACAGATGTGGGCTAATGGCAGACGAGGTGGGCTTCAAAGTGGGAACGAGGGAGTGACCTATATCGATGGAAAAAAGGCTGAATCCATTTTTTAGGAGTCACAATAAATGGCTTTCCTGCAAAACCACAACCTGAGTCACAGTTAAGCACCTGTTATCTGAATTTGCTTTCAGATTTTATTTCCTTTT